TACATCATTCTGTCGATAATAAGATGTTGCCAAAGTTGAAACTGCTATGTAAAATTATTGGTTTTCTGCACAACACTTATGTGAAAAGACTTAATTCGGACGGTAATTTAAGTGACATTATAGTACAATATATGAAAAGTAGAATGGACATGGAAAATACTTTGAGTCAAGAAGTACAAAGTCAGCGTTGGAACCGAAAAAAAACTACACTGAAATGTTTAACGGCATCTGAACTACTTGATTTTCCACGTTTAACTGAAGATCAGCTCAAGATTTTATTCACAGGCTCATATCAATTTTCACAAGCTATATCTTACTTGGCCGAAATAATGGACGATCAAAATAATCTCTCAGTACAATATGTGAAATCAGCACCTAATATCATCAAAGCAGAAGTGAAATCAAGACATATAAATAGAAAAGTCTATCGAATTTACATTCACTATATTTCCGAAGGTAATGACTACAATAGTATTCTACGTTATTGCTGTGATTGCCCCAATGGCGAACGTACAGTGGGATGCTGTTCTCATGTAGCAGCTATTATTTATTATCTATCATATGGACGATATTTGTCCAGAATCGTACGTCCTGCTGAGGTCCTAACTAAGTTATTTGCGACTGAAAGTGTTCCGATTGTAATTAATTACAACAGTGACGATGATTAATATTTTGTTTCTTGTATTTTGATTGACAAGAAAAAGTAATAATAATTAATATTGAACACTGGCTGTTTTTTAAAAATTTTTTTGTTTAACTATTAAACCATCTCTTAAGACTATTTACTTATGTTTTAAAACGAGCTGATGTGCGAAAAAAAACAATGATGTAATGTACACTTTATAATACAGGGATATACCATAAGACAGAAATCACATATAATTTTTTTTCGTTGTGTTGCACCAACTTTTTTTTCACGCAATTTTTATGGGTAATAGAGCACACAAAGGAGCATAACATATATAAATTTCGTGATTGTAAGTCACAGAGAACTCAGAAAAAAAAATATGATTTTTTTATTTTTTATTTTTTTAATGTAATTTTTTATTCTAAAAATTATAAAAAAATATATGTAATATACTCTGTAATGTAACCTAACACCTCGCGTTGGTTTCACTTCTTTATCTTAATTAGCTTCAGAGATACATCACATTCAGTAATAGTCAAGCATACGGATATTTTGCTCTCTATCTCAAGGTCAAAACGGAAGTCGGTCGCAAAAAGTACATAAATCGTGTTTGAACATCAAGACAATATTAAAACATAAGTTTCGATATCGATTCCTATTTGGGGGCCGACTCGTCATACGTATCCGGCTAAACCCTTTATGCCTACTCTGATTTACTGAAATTAAAGTTTTCAAAACATGCTAATTTTGTTATAGATATAATAGGGTTACTTGATAAATTATAATTTTTTTATCTTAAGAAAATTTATCAGCTTTGTCTAGTAACTTTAGTTAGAATCTGTTAAGTTTAATAATCCACCTATAACTGAGGGATTTAAGATAGTCTACTTGAAATGTTTACATTATCACACTTGGCCACACATCTTTCATTCATATAAAATTATTTCGTAACAAAAATTGCAAATTGATGTGGATATTTAATCAGTTGCATTGGTAAAATTTTCCTTACCAGATCGATAAAGATTATTCTATTCTATTCTATTCGATTAATTAAATGCATCAAATAGTGTATTCATTTGAAATTTATAATTTTTCAATATTTACATGCATATTGTTTTGATTACCTAAGTATATACTGGGTTTTCAATCCATATCAATATAATACAAAACATGTTTATACTTTAGCTTATTTAGGTTATGAACAGCTTTTTTAAACTTGAGAATAAGGTACAAATAAGTAGTGTTCTAATATTTAGTAAAACACAAAAAATTATATGAGTTTACTTTTTCAAAATTCTTTTGAATAATAGCATTAGTTCGGATAATTATACAATGTTTTACCCTCATTATGTATAAACTTTAAAGGTAGATCATAAGAGTGATTGTACATGTTAATTCATTAGTCAAAATAGAGTGTTAAAACTTAATAGACAATCCATGTACAAACTAAATATCTTTTACAAAGAAACAGTGACTGAAGAAAACCTCATTTCTCGCTTCTCTTTCATATCCTTTATGAAATTACAATGAAAAAACACATCAATGATAAAAAAGCACTTTAAATAATTCTTGTAAAACCAAAATAATGTTTTTTTTTCAGGTACCACCGACGCGGTAGTGCGTTTTGTGTGCCGTGTAGTAGCATCGTGGAAGATAAAGAACTTTCATCCATCAGCCATCGCGATCCTATTTCATAATCAAGAAACAATCAAATTTAATGTAGGTTCATATTTTGAATAAAATTAAAATGCATTGTGAAAATTGTTATATATTTGAAATACATAATGAATATAAGTATTTTACATTTTGAAGTGTTATTGAAGTAAATCTTTTATATGGGTATTATACATATAATCACGAGTTGATGTAAAATTGAAAACTATTTCATTTTCATATCGATAACCCAAACCGCAATATGAATTTTTGTCGCTTCTCTAGACACACCCATATATACTCATTGACAGCAACACACACAGCCACGCTTTTTTGGGAAATGCTCCGTTCTTTTGATACTATGCTCAGACCAAATAATTTGGTCTGAGATACTATGTCTAAGGTCAGAATAGTGAAATCGCTCCCAATTTACATGTCAAATACACATTTCAATAATTGGTACTTTATTTTTCATACTGTCAAATAGCCTATTCGCTATTAATCATTTTATTTTTGAAAATTGTTGTTTTGTAACTTTTATGTGTGCCCCGCTAAACAAGGAATTTTGGCCAATAACTACCTATATCAACTTTTTACATGTTTTGCTTTTAAATTTCGTACAACTATTGCATCAGTATCACTATCAAAAGATGTCCATGTTTCACATAATATTGTGAAAAATACCTGGCGCTCGGTTAGGCGGCCAGACTTGTTATTAACTTAAAACTTTAACGTGTTTACGTGTACTAGTATCTACACTACAAGTTTCTCAAAGTTTCTGTACATTAATATACATTAATAGCTTAACTTGGGGAACATTATGCGAATCAACATGTTAGCCGAGCCATGGGAGACCAAAGTTATTAATTTGGAAATAGTTGCCTACTATTTTATCAGAGGACGGGGGAAAATAATTACCGGCCCATACTTCAAAATCGGTTGTTCTTTAAAAAAGCAATCTTTATAATTTCTATCAAGGAGTCGGTTGTCTTTGATGTTTTGACGTGACAAATGACGTGTTTTGACGTGACATGGAGCCGGCTGCACTCACGAAAAAACATGACTCATGCGGCGTTACCTCGCTCTGAGGCGTTCCATTTAAGGCTTAAAGTGCATGCGAGAACGCGCAACGAGTGACAAAGAGGCACAACGGCCTCCGCGTTCGGCAGCGTTCGACATCTGTCTCTCTCCTACTTGAGTGAGCGATGCGTCCGCGTGGACATCTGCTATACAATAATACATTTACATGTTTTCGTCAAGTATGAAGTGCAGTGAAAAGTGAATGTGGTGTCAATTGTTTATAGCAACGAGAATTGCGGCGATAAAGGTAATGGTTCTTTCGATATTAAATATATGTTCAGTGATATATTGTCGAATATTTGTGCTTTCATCAATAAAATAAATAGCATCGGTCCGCTAGTGCAGCGATTGTAGGTTATGCTATAATTGACAAAACTATAACAATAAGTTAACAGAACTATTTCGTGACATTTAATTAATATTGAATAGAACTATGTTCATTGTAAAAAAACGTTGTCACGTTCAACTATCGTCAGTAAACCAACTTTACAGACAACCGTTTTTTTTTAAAGCAACCAGGTGTGTAATTTTAATGACCCCCTGGATCCGCCCTTGAAAAGAGATATATACATAGTTCTGTCAACACAAGTCATATACTAATATAAAGTTGAGCTTTTCTAGTATGGTAACTCTTTTGACCGACTTCCAAGAAAGGAAGAGGTTGTCTAAATTATTAAAATCTGAACTGAATTTAGATATTGTTTCTGATAGAGCAATGGGGACAACGAGGTATGTTACAACCATTGATGCGGTATTTTCAAGATTCGTGAACCACGTATCTACGAACGTCCATGTGTCTTATTATTGTACGTAAAAGATTTAGTGACATAATTATCTTTTTATAACCATTTTTGTTAATTATTAAGATAATATTATATTTTAAATGAAAAATTAATTATATGTAAACTCCAGTCGTGCGTCGTAGCTGACACACACAATTTTTTATCGAAACAAATACTTTTGTCGCTTTTGATATTTTAAGACGATAAACTTTGCCCTTTACACTTTTTCATTACAACATATATTTAAAAAGTTACAACGATGACAAAGTGATACCTTCTTTTTCTCTGATTTTTTTTCTATGATATGTTTGCCTAAATACTTAGATTGAAACAAAAAGGGAAGATACGATACTCGCGGCTCAAAAGTGATCCGCTTAAATTGTGGTGCATGACCACAATTTGCTTTAGTCACAATTGGACATTCAAACACGCTGCATGTGCACTCAATATAACAATAATGTGTATATTCAGTGTTATAAAACAATGCTTTCGATACTTTTATAAAGAACACAAATACTTAGTTCAAAATCAAATGCCTCGGCAACACTTTTCATTCGTAAATTAAAAAAACATTTTTTTCTCAAAAATCACTCTGTGGTGTGTCGTGAATGTTATATTTAATGTCCATTTTGTTATCAAGAAAAGGACAACAATACCAGTCCACTCAGGAAGTTTTGCAAAAAAAAGTTTTTATGTATAAGACAGTGGCCACTTGTAATTATTTTGAAAACTTTGATTATTTATAAGTAAAAATACCACTGTTCGATTTTCAAATTTCCCTTCGCATTTTTTCAAGAGCCAATAAAAATGTTCTTGTCTCATTAAAAATGGATCTGCATCGAGAACATTTTCGTGCTATGATTTTTTACGATTTTAAATGTGGCTTAAATCCTGATGAGTCATTTGATCTCGAACTACTTTTATGGATGAAGGAGGACCTTCAAAAGCAACCATCTACCGCTTGTGTAGCGAGTTCAAACGCGGTCGTCTTACTTTGGGGGATGAACAAAGAAGTGGTCGTCCTACAACCCCTACCGAAATATGATTGCTAGATTGAACAAAAACTGTTGATGCAGATTTAAACCTGATACATTTTACCATCTTTTTCGATCGTATTGTTTTAAGTTTGAATTCAGAATACCATACGACATGGAGCTACGCCTAACAAGTCGGATATGCGCCTTGTTAAAGGCAATTGATTTTTGAATAAAAAACATGTTTTATCAAATAAAGGTTTAATTTAATAACGCGTGTTGCCTCCATGGGCATCTACCACAGCTCGCATACGATTAGGCATAGAGTTTATCAATCGCTCTATGAAATTTTGAGGGATCATCTCCCATTCCTCTTCTATGGCAGTTTTCAACTCCTGCATCGTCTGGGCAACTGGCTGACGAGCCCTAACAAGTCTTTTTAGCTCGTCCCACATGTGCTCAATGTGGTTCATGTCTGGGCTTCTGGCTGGCCAGTCCATAACTGTGATGTTCACATCCCAAAGATATTCCCTGACGATGCCGGCCGCATGGGCTCTTGCATTATCATGCATAAAAAGGAAATTCGGGCCCACATAGTCCGCGTATGGTATCACGTGAGGTTCTAAGCACTCACGAATGTACCTTTCAGCATTTAATGTTGGCAGCCGTGGTCCTGTAACAACCTCAAGTTGAGTGTTGCCGCTCGCGGATATACCGCCCCAGACAGTCCATGAGCCACCGCCATAAGCAACCCTCTCTTCAAAGCAGCATTGTGCGAAACGCTCTCCCTTACGTCGGTAGATCTTCTTCCTTCCATCATTGAAATGTAACACAATTTTAGACTCATCAGAAAAGAGTACACGGCTCCAATCTTGCTGTGTCCAATTTAAATGACTGCGTGCGAAATGAAGGCGCGCTGTTCGGTGGGCTCGCGTTAGTTTGGGCCCATTAGCTGGCTTGTGTGGTACCATATCGCGTTCTTTTAACCTTCTCCGAACAGTTCGAGCGCTCACAGATACTCCGTGGAAGTCGCGAAGTTGGTTTTGTATCTCAATGGAGGTAAGGTGACGATTTCTCAAGCTGGTGGTCACGATGAATCGACGATGAATCGATCCTGCCTTTCAGTTGTGACCCGAGATCGTGGCCTTCCTTGGCGACGAACAAAGCCGCTAGTCTCTAGGTACCTCCGATAAACATTTCGGACCGCAGATCGACTTAAATTAAGTTGAGCACTCACGTTTCTTTGGCTGTGTCCGGCCTGAATAAGTGCCACAGCTTGGGCGGCGACTTCAGGTGAAGTATCCATAGATTATTGATAGAACCTCACCTTAATGTTAAGAATAAGTAATGTTTGTTGCAAAACCAAAGATATCAATCACTTTTTCAAGAATTAAATCCAAGTAAACCAATAAAACCAAGTTTTCTTAGTATTCGATTGTTTGATATCAACAAACAGGCTCCAAATTGTCTTTTGTTTCTTTAAATTCTGTGTTCGAAATTCCAAAAAAGACTATTGAATGAAATTGTGAATGTGCCAGGTTCAAAACTGCATAAAAACTTTTTGCTCGACCTAATATAAAATTTTAGCTAGGACCAAACGAAACTGAAAATACAAGGTGGGCCAATAGATGTGTCCAGAAGTGTATATTTGTTTCTTAGGTTTTCACGCACATCACTCATTAAATAAAACTAGTTTTTACGGGTTAATGCACGAAACTTTATATATTTATTGACGTTTCGTAGCCTTTACAGGCTACGTCGTCAGAATCAAACTTTTATTTAATTTGTCGAGCTACCTTCGAAAGACTTTTATTGAGCGTTCGGTTATTTCATTGTTCGATTTTTAAAGTTTTATTGTCTATGTATGAATTTATTACTTAATTTACTGAATAAAGTATTTTATTTAAAATTCTTTTTTGTAATTTTGAGTTTATTTATTTGACCCTAACTACCGTAAACTACCACCGGTTCCAAACTTGGGAGACCTTTCTGAGAAGAACCGGCGAAACAAATTTAAGAGAGGCTTTCTTTCTATCTCCTTCTTATGTTAAGTTATGCAAACAAAAAGAACTAATAGTATCTGTTGGTCTTGCAGTGTGTGCTCGGGATTGGGATTTTATCTCCTGTATAATGGGTTCCCAAGCTGGTGGTATATACCAACCATCTTCCCTATTGAAATTTGGATATTTTTTAATCTCAATAGCCTCGCGCATCATTCGAGGAACGAATCGCTGCTCAGTTGCAAGGATCCATGGCTTATCAAATCTAATGTAATGATTTGGAACATGCATTAGGGGGACCAAACCAACCAAACCAAACCAAAAGAAGATATCTTTAAAAGTACTCCAATTGCATTTAAAAAATACACGAACATTGCGTCCTATTCGAAAATAATTTTTACATGCCACTAATATTATAGGTAGTTTTCCAATTACAGCTCTAGAGCGCATTATGTATGCGGCATAATGCTTAACTTTGAATGTTTCAACTACAACAACGCTTCGCACAATCGAGCACTCTCAAAAGTAATGTTTTCGTGTGATGCGCGCAATCGTACCAACTCAGTGACAGAAAATTAAGTGTTTTTTTTTAAGTTGGCATTGATCGAAATATTTTATTTATCGTTAGTAATATTATTTGTTGTTGAATTTTTTTAAAGCTTTGTGTGCACCACTGAGTCGCATTATGCTCTGTAATAGGAAAACTACCATAAAAATTTCAATGCAAAAAACACTTTTATGAAATATCGTCATATCGCCACAAAATTACCTATGTAAAGGCGCAATTTTCGTTTTCAACCACTGACCTCTATTATTACACTAATAATACAGGTCAGTGCTTCCAAGTAACTTTAGGGTATACATTTTTTTTTCGTAGGTATGCCATCTCCATAGGTTTTAGTACTCAGAGCTTGTATGTCAATGATTTCTGTTCTGTTAACTATCTGTGGCAGCGTCAGTGATGTCAGATTGAGGTATTAATCCGCCAGTTAGGCGGAAATTTTTGATTTTGGTGAAAATAAGTAAAATTGGTGATTTCTTGGTGATAAAGATGATTATGGTGATAAGATGTATTGAGTAGACTCAAAATGATATTGCATACTATATGGCATTTATTACATAATTACTAAAATTCTGTATATAAATAACACAATTTTAAAACCTTAGTAAAAATTGGCTACTGGAGTCAATTTTGGCATGATTCTCTAAACCCAAACTTAAATTTGAGAACAGTGCAGCCTTGTTATTCTCTAGAAAGAATGAAACAGACAGAAAGATTTTAAATATAGTTTAAGTATAAATAATCACGTCAGAATCGACACCACTAATCCAAAAAAAACTACTTATTTGCCAAAACTTAATTTGGCGGTTTTTTTTCTGAAAAGGTATAATTTTTGTGTAGAATAATTTTTAATTTGACGTAAATTAAACAATCACTTCTGGCAACCCTGAAAAGCGTTCATCTTAATTTTTTTATCAGCTTTGTTGATCTCGCATTTCATGCAGTAAAAATTGTATAAATTTCATTAGATAATCAAAGTTATCAAAGGCAAACATGTAATTGTTTGTGTACGCGAAATATAAAATACTTGTTTTCTTTACGTGCCTTTTAGTGTAGTAGGATAAACTCATGATAAGTTTGGTGCTCCTTCATTTGTTTTCATTATGACAAAACGCCGAAGAATACTTCACGCCGATAAAATTATACAAAATGTTGTTCACGTGTTTTGTTTGTTAATGTTTTTGCAGCTAAAAGGTTTGTACACTAAACTTCACAAGGATTTTTAAACCTAGTTTTTTGGAACTCACAGCCAGTTTCAATAATCAATTAAAGTCTTAAAAATATCTATGCTTCAAATTATAATAACAACTGTTGCTAAGGCAACGAAACCGGATTATCCATAGCTTTTACTAAAGGTTGATTATTGAAGCTGGCTGTAAGGAGTCCATGATAAAAACAAAGATGCTGGTACACTATGTCCATCACTTTGAATATTTATAGGCCTGGATAGAGCAATCCAAATAAATTACGCAAAGAAATCATCTCAATTTTGTGTCACTCTAATGACAGATTATACTAAAGCAGGCAGTGTGTGTGTGTGGTGAGGAGCATATTTACCCTTTATAGTTTTGTTTGCCGCTTCTTTGTATAAGTGCATCATTAAGAATGTCACTGAAAAATTCTGACTAGTGGTTATGTGTTTGTTCTATCTGGGTCTGTCTAGTTGTTTACTTTTGAAACTTCCTAAATTTATCTATTTACTATTTAATTAAGGTTTTTTCACTTTTCCTACAGTTTTCAGTAGATACTAACTTAAAAAAAAATGATTATGTTACAGGTTATTATTCGGTGGCTAACAATCCAATATTACTCTACTCGACAGCAGCAGATATACGTGTAGCTAATTTATCAAGATTAGGAAAAAACAATGTCATAGTCAAAGGTCTGGAGCAAGGATCTGCTGTTGATTTCATTTATAGTAAAAATTTAATATGTTGGTCTGATCAAACTGCAGAACTGATACAATGTATGAAATACAATGAAACATACTCTGGAGAAAAGGTTAGCATTTAAACAATTCATTTTCAATTTATTTTTTAGTTACCAAATCCACTGAGCAAAAGAGCCTCAGTAAAAATTTCAATAAAAAATGACTAAGTGCGAGTCAGTCTCGCCCACTAAAATTATTATTCACAGACTATGGACTTGTTCTTTAGTTTCGTTTAGTCTTGTTTTGTACCATAGTAATCTAGGACACTTTCCAAGCCAGCAGCATAATACTGAACCCTCAATACACTGTTAAAGAGTGACGTGAGGAACACTACAACCTTTCTCGAGTTTAGAAGGAAGTTTTCTTTGTAAGAAGATCATATACGGGGCCCTTTTGTAGATTTATTTGTAACTCCCATAACTGAGCCGGGCTTAACTACCTCTTGTTTACTTTTCTCTCAAATCATGAATCTTTCAAAGGTTACTGTCAATTAAAGATATATTGTAAAACATTAATACTTTATCTTTTATTACCTAGTGTATATTTTTTACAGATGAGAATAGTGTCGGAGGGTTTGATAACACCAACTGGGATTGCAATAGATTGGTACACTGATAAAATATATTGGACTGATGGAGAGACTAACAGAATTGAAGTTATAAGTATAGAACAGAAATACAGAAAAGTATTGTTTTGGTCTGAAGTAGATTTGGCCAGAGCTATTGCAGTAGTGCCTAAAGAAGGGTAAGTATCTACAAACTTATTCATTATGAACTTGCCCAGGTAGAAAGTGGTGAAATAATATTCTATGTTTGTAAATGTTTAAAAAATGTATTTTTGCAAAAGTAATAAATCAGTGAGTCCTATGAAAAATTGTGGTTTGGAATATATTTAGTTGGAACTTTGTAATGATTATCTGTTTTGTACTGTCCTGGACATTTTGTTACTGTTGTGAAAATAGCAATTAGTGGATTTGACACTTCCAAACTGAAGCATAATTGTGATCATTTATGTAATCTTATATCTTTTGTTATATTAATCAGTTTCATAAAATTGATCATTTTCAGATTATTGTTTTGGACAGATTGGGGTGAAGAACCTAAAATAGAGAGAGCAGGAATGAATGGTGACCCATTGACTAGACGGGTAATAGTCAAGGATGATATAATATGGCCCAATGGCATTACCATAGACTATAACAACAATTTGATTTTTTGGGTTGATGCAAAGCTTCACTTTATTGATGTTATTGACTTCAATGGAGACAAAAGGAAAAGAGTCGTAAAGGGTGGTTTGGAATATCCATATGCTTTAACAATATATAATGAAAAGTTTTTTTGGACAGATTGGACAAACTGGTATGAGATTTGAGTAACAAAATTAATTATTATACTGGTGTTATTATACTGGTGTTCTACATTTACTATTATTGAATATATTTATTTACAGGACAATCTATTCATGGGATATGGCAACTAATGGTCCAATTAAGGAAATAATAAAATCTGATCCAGTACCAGTCGATATTAAAGTATATGATGGTAGTCGGCAACTTATGCCCAGTGGTGATTACCCTTGTAAATATAATAACGGGGGCTGCTCGCATTTGTGCCTTTTGGCACCATCAGAACCAGGTCTAAACCTTATATACAAAATTTTATCAAAATAGTATCCTTTTGATTATAACAATTACAATATTATATTTTATAGGTTATGTCTGCGGCTGTCCTACTGGCACTATACTAAAGAAAAACAGCAATACAACTTGTTACGATAGCCCTCAGACTCTACTAGTGGTTGCACAACGCTCCATGATATCTAAAATCTCCCTTGATGCCCCTGATTTCACACCATATACTATACCATTGAAAGATCTGAAAAGAGCGCTTACTGTGGACTTTGACCCAAAAACTGGATATATTTTTTGGGCTGACAGTTTGGTAAGTTAATAAAATATCAACATTAAAACATTTAATGTAGAAATGTGGGAAAAACGGAATTTGGCAAAAATCTTTCGTATTATTCACAAATAGAACAATTAAGTAGTATAATACTAATTCAAAATAAATAATCTACATTTAACAAAAACAAAATACTGAATAACTGGATACAGCCAATTATCAGTTGTCTGTACTGTCTGCATTATCTATAACAATAATTAGCATGGAGCACTCCACAATGCCTAAAGAAGTATAAGCTTTAAAAATATTTATACCTAGTGACGCGCTCTAGATTTGCATCAGTGAAATAAATATTGACATGATAAAATCGTAATCGTGTGGGTGACCAAAAAAAATTCTTTTTTCGCATCTAGGTGTCAATCTTTGTAATTTTTAAGATAATGGTATCTCGAGCAGGAGTGTTATTGATATTCGCATTAATTCAGACGCGAAACGATTGGCACATGCTTAAAATGATATTAAATAAGACCGAAAACTTCTTCTTGCAACGGGCGTTTCCGCAACTCGGCTTTCTTATGGCGCCTATTTTGCGTGAGGAGGGAGTATAGCCGGAATCATTCCAGCCAGCCCAGCTCCGCCAGGAACGCCCCCAGGGCCTTCACATTGGTGACTGCCTCTTGAAGGTTGCCCGGTGAGCCTAGGTATTTTGCCCGGTATTCGGCCACTCCGTTGCATTCCAGCAGAACGTAAGTAGCTGTTTCTTCTGCCTTCATGTAATGCAGGATGGGGGCTGTCCGTGACACCTAAGTTAAAAAGATGTCTGTTAAAATGTGCATGTCCAGTAATAGCACCTGTTACCATGCGCAATGTAGCTTTGCTTAGCTGTAGGAGAATTTTGGAGAAGGCAACGCTCACCCGTGGCAAAGCGAGGTTGGTCTGGCTGTGTGCTCGCGGATTTTATTGACGAGACAGCTTACCGGTATCGGGACGATTGGTTCGAGACCTGTTGAGGTCGCATCGGATCCCTTCCGGGCCAGCTCATCCGCAGCATCGTTTCCGCGTGATCCACTGTGTCCCTTGATCCATTGGATAGTAATAGAATTGCTTGACCCTACTGTGTTTAAGGTTTGGTGGCATTCTTGTAGGAGGCTCGATTTGACTAAACAGGCATCTAGAGCTTGTAGGACTGATATGCTGTCGGACAGTATTCGTATTTCCTGTCCTGTTACCTGTCGTGAAAGGATCGCTCTTGCCGCCAGTGTGATGCCCATCTTCTTCTTCTTGCTACGGGCGTTTCCGCAACTCGACGTCCTTATGGCGCCTGTTTTGCGTGAGGAGGGTGTATGGCCGGAATCACTCCAGCCAGCCCAGCTCCGCTAGGAAGGCCCCCAGGGCCTTCATTCAGGCCTTCAGTGTGATGCCCATACATTCAGCTTGGAAAACTGTGTTGTACGGGCTTGAGGGGAAAGCGATGTGTATATTGAGGTCCTCAGAGAAAACAACCGCGCCCGAGCCCGATGAGGTTTTAGAACCGGTGTAGATCATGAGAGCCCTGTGTGTTACCTTTGGATCGTTGTCATCCAGAAGTTGTATTCTGTACTTTTTGTCAAATATGAAGGCGGGTATTATTTTGTCACATGCCGCATCTATGAGCGGAGTATTTACCCATTCCTTCAGTAAACCGTTGAGATGTCTTGCTCTTTCGAACCTTACCAGTCCAAACTTTTGTAGTCACAACGCTGTTTTAGCCGCTTCCTGCAAGTTGGCAGCACCTACGTCACGTTTAGTTGTAAACATTACCAGCTCTGTTTTAGTTGGATTAACAGTGAGGTCGTATTTCCTGCACCAGCATTCAACCAGTTTCAAAGCACCTTGCATGGTGTTACAGGTAATGCTGGCGTGGGTACCTGGGTAAGTATATTAATGTCATCTGCATACCCTATGGTGTAGTAGTGGTTTGAGTTCAGCTTGGTCAGCAGGTCGTCAACTACGAGGTTCCATAGAAGCTAAAGAACCCCTCCTCGTGTCATCAGTGCTCCTCTGCTCTCCTCACCTTTTACCCGAACTATTCTATTGCGAAGCATGTTAACTGTCCAGTCAATGATTTGTTGTTTCACTCTTGTTATTAGACTTATCGAAAGCACCCTCTTTATCGATGAAGGTCCCGAGGCAGATAAGTTTCTTTTGAAGGGCTTCTTCTATCTTACCGACTAACTGATGGAGAGCCGATTCAGTAGATTTGCCTGAACTGTAGGCATGTTGGTGTTTATGTAGAGGGGCATTAATTAATGCTCCACTGCGTAGATACCTGTCGCATAGCCTTTCCATTGTCTTAATTGGTTTGGGTATGAATACTACCTTGACCTTCCTCCACAGATGTGGAGTGTACCGATGAGCCAGACATGACCTTAATATACGAGTAGCCGCATCGACCACGTCCTGTCCGCCCCATTGTAGTAGTGCTGGAAAGATGCCGTCAGAGCCAGCAGACTTGAAAGGGGCAAAGCAGTTAATAGCCCACTTTACTCCTTCAGGCGTAATTACCGTCTCTGCTAGTTTCCAGCATCCTTCTGTTATACTTGGAGGTGTGTCTTGTCAAGTCACCTGCTCTGTAAGCTGGCAATCCAGAAAGTGGGTTTGTAGGAGGATGGCGTCGCAGTCAGCCCAATTATGGGACAATGTACCGTCAGGCAGACTTCCCTTCTTCTCTTCCAGACCGAAAACTGTTAGTTATATTATTATAATAAATATTAATTATAATTAAATTGATTTACATTTATTTGAACTACAAATTAAAACATCTTTATAATATCCTGAAATCCGTATCCGCATCTGCAAGAACCCTCATGTCGAGTCCCTAATACATCTGAAGTCGTTAAAACCCACCAATCCGCACTAGGCCCGCTTGGTGGGGCATGGCTACATCTCCCTATTCCAACCATATGGAAGACATGTAACGTCTTAATAGACTCATGCCCCACTAGCATGAGCAATGGGACATGATATGCTCATGAAGGGTTTCGTACAACAAACCGCGGAAGGTGTAGAAAAAATATATTTTTCAAATCCAACTTTTACAAAATATTTTTACATCATCTTAAAGCCCTTCGAATTCCGCGTCTTTTCAGCTCTCATACATCTTCGTGGCCCTAAGCCACGAGTCGCACTTTCGACGAAAATGCGGGTCTAGTGGAGCGAACGAAAAAACATTTTCAATGTTAAAAATATTTTCGTCTTTTTTTCATGTATGGGACCATATTTCCCTTGAAAAATAATTCATTTGAATGTTTAACTCAATATCTAGCTTTGGGCAAGTGTTCTACATAAAATTTCGACGACCCGTGACATATGAACAGACTAACAGACAGAGGGCAGAGTGTCAGCAATAGGGTTCCATTTAAACCTTTGAGTATGGAACCCTAAAAATTACCATGACTCAACTGTCAAATTACAATGAACTTAGATGCGATAAAAAACGTGATTCATGTATATTGTGGTGCAATGTTACGGTGACTGGTGATGATAATATTAATACATGGTAATTCGTAATAAATTTTACATTTTAGGCAAAAACAATATCCCGTGCTCGTCTAGATGGCAGCGAACAGTCGGTAGTAATACACAGTAGTGGCGTGCCAGACAGTATCGCCATAGACCCGCTGGCAAGGAACATCTACTGGACGGACCCCGTGCTGGACACCATCACTGTGGCCAGGCTCGATGGCACCTCCAAAAAGGTAAAGTCCATTCTATTAATGATATACTTACGACTATAAACAGTTGGTAGTGATGCACAGTAGCGGCGTGCCAGACAGCATCGCCAAAGACCCGCTCGCCAGGAACATCTACTGGACGGACCCCGTGCTGGACACCATCACTGTGGCCAGGCTCGATGGCACCTCCAAAAAGGTAAAGTCCATTCTATTAATGATATACTTACAACTATAAACAGTTGGTAGTGATGCACAGTAGCGGCGTGCCAGACAGCATCGCCAAAGACCCGCTCGCCAGGAACATCTACTGGACGGACCCCGTGCTAGACACCATCACTGTGGCCAGGCTCGATGGCACCTCCAAAAAGGTAAAGTCCATTCTATTAATGATATACTTACAACTATAAACAGTTGGTAGTGATGCACAGTAGCGGCGTGCCAGACAGCATCGCCAAAGACCCGCTCACCAGGAACATCTACTGGACGGACCCCGTGCTAGACACCATCACTGTGGCCAGGCTCGATGGCACCTCCAAAAAGGTAAAGTCCATTCTATTAATGATATACTTACAACTATAAACAGTTGGTAGTGATGTACAGTAGCGTCGTGCCAGACAGCATCGCCATAGACCCGCTCGCCAGGAACATCTACTGGACGGACCCCGTGCTGGACACCATCACTGTGGCCAGGCTTGATGGCACGGATGGATAAGGAAATACGTTCCAAAACAGTTATTTTGTAATTTTAGAATCAAATTAACATAATCTACCATTTAAATTGTATTAATTGAAAAATCTCATTTTTGATCTGTTCAAGATTTAAGTTTTAGTTTTTATACCTATCCATTCTTCTATTAATGTTATATTAATTTATTTTATGGTTCATGGACCATTTGTTGTGTCTGTGCTTAGAAATTATAGTTATGCAACTTTTTAATACCGACTTTAAACTTTTCCGCGTTATATCATTGTATGTATGTATTTATGTTCACATACATCTATATACGCGGTAAGGGCTAGGCTAATTGCTATGAGTGTCGGAAATATTTATTTATTTATTTCGTCCACCATATGTAATAAACAACGTAATATCTATATGCTTTTATTAATAATCCAGGTGATAATTCACGACGAACTATATGACCCTCGAGCGATTGCTCTGCATCCTACTGCTGGATGGATGTTCTGGTCAGATTGGAACGAGAAACGACCCAAAATAGAACGCGCTAACCTCGACGGGACAAACAGAATGCTTTTAGTCACCGAAAAGATCACCTGGCCCAACGGTATCGCACTGGACACAGTAAACAACAAACTGTATTGGGGTGACGCCAGGACACATAAAATTGAGGTTAGTATTAAATAAGTAGAGATCGTCTAATGTAAAACTTAATATCTAATTTGAGTGTGTTGCATTTGTACACTGATTTTGCATGTAAGATTAAGACAATGGAGGGGTGTTCAGTTTTAGATGATACAATAAAAAATTTGATTCTCTTGTAGCACACACTTATGAGCGGGCCGGCATAGTCAGGTCGGCAGTATTTTGTTGAACAACAAAGCCGACCCGTAGGAATTACTGCACTTGTTCGGCTTCGTTCGGGTGGACACATCATTCGATTCGACAGTACTTTTACAACGAAAACGCCAACCCGTGACAACTACAACATACATTCAGCTCCAATCAGTTCTGTTTTCGTTCGGTCGTCATCTTCGGCCACTTCGTACCTAAAATCTTTGGGGTTTTCTTAGTAAAGAGACGGCAATAACAACAAAACTTGCAGAAACTAACAACACGTCGTCTTCGTCCCACATTCTTAGCTGAACTAAAATTTAAGTCTAGCTGGTTGCGATTCCCGAACATTCAATTACATAATTCGGTTTTACCGCCCGGCTGTGCCGATTAATGCCCGCCCGCTTAAATGTTTTGCTACCCTTTCCCTTACATTATTTATTTTTAAAGTGAATATACAACTAAATATACTGTGAATATATGAAGCGCCTATATTTCCGTTATTATTAACGAGTAAAAAACTGTGAAAAATCACGTATGTTGTATGGGAGTCTCATTTATTTATTCTGGTTTTAGTATTTTGTTGTTATAGCGACAACAAAAATACATCATCTGTGAATATTTCAACTGTCTAGCTATCACAGTTCATGAGATAAAGCCTGGAGGCAGAAGATATCCCACCGACTTTTTAAACCCGGGACTTCTGAGTAGGCGACTCCATGAAATCCGGCGTAAACCGGCCACGGGGTCGTTGTAGAGCATTGTTTTCCACAAGGCTGCTCAATTACGATTGATGACTTCACAAAAACAATGACCCATTTTCGTATTTAAAATGTTTATTTTTAATTTACCATAATAGAAATAAAGTTTAAAGTTAAAAACTTGGATTATTTTAAACAGGTATGCAACATGGATGGCACAAACCGTAGGGAGATTCACAGCACAGACATCTTACACATATTCGGATTGACGTTGCTTGGTCAAAGACTTTATTGGACAGACATGCAACGACGCACACTTGATAGCATAGACAAAGACACTGGTAAGTGCTCTTCGCCTTCTTAATCTTTTTAAATTTACAGCCAGAATTTTAGCGAAACATTGTTGCTTACAAAAGTTTTTTTTTAAGGTTTGGAGAAACAGCCAGTTGTAGAGCAGTTAGCAAACATGTTGGGTGTAAAAGCGTTCCGTCCAGGTGAATCTCTTGGTAAAAACCCATGTGTGGATGATAACGGAGGATGTTCACATCTTTGCTTCAACGGACCCAACGATTACGTGTGCAGCTGCCCGCTAGGTATATTAATTTATTCTTGACTAGTAACCCGCTTTCGCTTCGCTTCGCTGTAAACTTTAGCTTTAGTTTTCAGGAACGTCAAGCAATTTAATATGTAGTGTAATAATAGTTTTACGGTTATGCTATAAAAATACTACAAAAGCATTTATAACTCGTAAATGCTAGTTGGACAAACATAATTTGTTAATAACAAATAATCAAATTGGTTTGAGCGTAAATGTAAAAAAAAACTGTTACCTAAAATTGAAAACAATGTTTTAAACATAAATTTAATAAATAAAAACTATATTTGATTAAATTTGTAGGCTTAGAATTGGCCAATGATAGGAGGACATGTACTGAGCCCGAAGCGTTCTTGGTGTATAGTCGCAAGAATGTGATCGGTCGAATCAGCATCGAGAACGAGAACAACGACGCAGTGTTGCCAGTCAAGGATTTGAAGGAAGTCAGGTAAGTCAATATTTTGTAAGTGAATTATAAAAATTACTTAATTAATACTTATTGATCATACCTGCCGGCAAACTTCTTGAGCAACGATCACAGACGGAGAATCCTGTGCAGTAGCTATTTTACATTCAGAAGCATCTACTGTGCAAGTTTATTATGCTCAGGAAGAAGTTTGCCAACAAAAGTTGCCAAAGATCCGCTAGATAGAGGAATCATATCGGTAATTTAGGCTGGTTTCAATAGCACATTTTTCTGTTGCATCACTTACCTTCATAACTTGACTCAGAAAATAGAGTGGAGTACATTGATAGGCATTGATTTATATTATAATAAATGACTAATGAAATGTTTCTAATTAAAGTGCTGGGTACACACCTAGTCAGATGTCGATTTTTTTACCTAAATACCTTGAAATTTGTAATTTTATGTTTTGTCATTTTGTCGATATTATTAGGAGGATTAGGATTAAGGAGCTTGATGGTGCATAGGTTAGCTCGTTCGGCCTGCGATCGTGGAAATTAACCAACTTTCGCAATGGTCGGTCATTGGATAGGCGACCAAAAATTTATCAATATCTGTGCTTGTAGTCGTTGGTGGGTCATAACCCAATCTTCCTATTCCATTTATAGGGAAGGCTTGCCCCAGCAGTGGAGACATTAATAGGCTGATGATGATGAAGAAAGCAAAGTATAAAATATATATATAGTTAATATAAAGTGTATGTAGTTTTATCACAATTATATTAGGACTAGAGGTCGCCCGCGACTTCGTCTGCATTAACTTAGTTTCTTAAAAATCCCTATGGAACCTAACATTTTTTCGGGATAAAAGTAGCCTATGTGTTAATCTAGGGTGTCAGCTAACTCCATACCAAATTTTATAAAAATCGCTCCAGCCGTTTAGACGTGAAGAAGTAACAAACATACACACTCACATACTCACACACTCACAAACTTTCGCCTTTATAATATTAGTGTGATTTACATCTAAATATATTAATGTGAAATCTATTTTTACAGTGCTTTGGAAGTACATGTGTCAGAATCGAAAATATATTGGTCAGACAGCAAGACAAAAACTATAAATTATTGCACTGTGAATGGCGCTAACCAAGAGAAGATATTGGAATGGTTGGGCCTTGTAGAAGGTGAGTGAACCAGAAAAGTCATTTTTCTATGTTTCCCAACGAATTAAAATAATATGAAATACGAACTCCTCTTAAAAGGCTATCAACAGGGCGGGGCAAAAAGAATGCGATGAACCCATCGATAATTGGATTGGTTGGAATTTTCCTTTAACATTATCTTACCCAATGAATGGAGAGCCTAAATATTTGATTTGTCAAAGTATTTTGTTTCTTCTGCGTGCGTATCCGTTAGTATTGAAATTTAGCTGTACTAATTTGGACCCATGTTTTAGCGGCCTTTGTAAGAGAGGAATGCTTTCATATCATTTCTAATTCGTGAATATTTTCCTTTTCATATTCATGATTAAGTTGTTGGGATCTTTCGTGTGATCGCTTTTTCCACGCGCCTTAAAATGTCTACATTAGCTTAGTTTTCTAGCTAACTGAAAATGTGTTTTCAACTTTATGTTCAACATTCAAAGTATGCTTTGGAGCGTCGACCATAATAAAATCCTTACAAAAATAGCGCCCACGGAGGAAAATTCCTAAGATTTATTCGAAATTTTAAAAATAATGCCGGCGAGAAAAACATGCATTATAAACATTGCAAAATGTCTTTTTTTTTCAATAATATTAAATCTATGACCTAACTTTAAAAAAATTCTAACAAACTGTCAATTACAATATATATCTTCTTGCCGGGAAATAAGGTACACAATTTATTAATAATGTTGTTAATGTATAGGCCTAGCTATAGATTGGTCCGGTAACAATATCTACTGGACGGACACAACGACGCAACGTATTGAAATGGCAAAACTCGACGGTTCCAGTCGTCGAACTCTCATATGGCAAGGCCTAAAGAAGCCTAAAAGTATTGTGTTAGATCCTAAAAAAGGGTAAGTAGATCTTATTAAATAGTATTATTATATAAAACAGTATTATTATAAAACTAATAAAAATGACCCATGCGAAAGTTATTATATTTTTTTAGCATTTAGCTATGTAAATGTAAAAAAATACTAGAAAAAAAATCCACTTGATCCAGGTTTCAGAATGCGGATGCACTAACCAATTATGCTACCGAGATCTTCATAGCCATGTCGAATTTCTTGTAGTATTTCTTAGGCTGCTAGGCAGCGCCATCTCTTCGCATTGTAAGTAAAAGAACACCTTTACCAGTAATAAACATTCGAAAGAAGAAATAGAGAATGTGGTTATTATTCTGGAACAAGTAGAATTTATTCTAGTAAAAATTTTCTTTATACAAAAGTTACTTACTATCATCGTTACTTTGCAATGTTACTAAACAATCAGTGCAAATATCTTAGGATGAATTATGATAAATCGAATTAATAGTGTGAACCCAAGAATATTTATAATAATACGATTCTTTTCGCAATCTTAATGAGGCGACTCGCGTATTCACAAAAATCCTATCTTTTTCAGTAAAATTGAAAAAATATGATCAACTTTAATTAACGTTAATTATCCGCGTTTTCGCAGAATCTTAAAAAAAATGTATTTATCAGATCATCGGAGCATACAAAGACACTTTAGTGTATTTACATAATAAAATAAATCAAATTGATAAACTAATAATTTAAAATCCTTATCACCTATTACGGGTTTTTTTTAATTTATTTCCATTAAAATTAGTATTTTGTTTGTATATAGACCTCTATTAAAATTAGTATTTGTTTGTTTATAGACCTTCCACGGTTGTCTGGAAGAAATCGATTTGTGACACTACTCTAATTTGTTAATATGTTTTTGATATTGTATTTCGGTGTTACAATATAAAGTTATCTTACAGTTACATGTACTGGTCAGAGCTCGGATCAAGGACTATAAAGCGTGCATTAATGGACGGGACTTCCCCGTCTATTTTCGTCGAGCAAACGGGCCGCGTGCACGCTCTAGCCATAGACTACGACAAGCGGACTCTGTACTGGGCCGCGCTCGAACCCCCGGCCATAGAGTATATTCATCTCAATGGTTCTGGACGAAAGTTGCTTGCTGATAATATTCTCATGCCGTACGCTCTCACACTCCACTCCGATAAAGTGTTCTGGGGAGATTGGAACACAGGTAATGTTCTATATATCAGCTAGCTCAAAAAAAAATATTTTGCTATATATTTATATTCCCTGTATCAAAGTCTTACTTTAGGCACTTCTTATAATTTAACGATCACTGAATCAAAGTTTCTTTTTTTTTTTAAGTTTTTAGAGTTTTAAGAGCTTCACTCTCGCTCACTGTATCGCGCTCTCTATCTAACAAATCAAAACTAGAAAGATGTAAATAATGATAACAAAAATTTTCTCGAAAGGCTTGATCGAAGTCGCGAAGAAAACGGACGGCACCGAGCGCAAAACTATCCACACTCAACTCGACTACATAACCGACTTGAAAGTGTATCACCGCAAACGTACCGCCGGCGGCAGCCAATGTGACGTCGGCAACGGCGGATGCTCGCACCTCTGCATCCCGCTGCCTACAGACTACCGCTGCGGCTGCCCCACGCACTACCGCCTCGACAGCGACAACCTCACGTGCTCTGGTGAGTGATGCGCCCAGTGTTAAACTGATGCAGCACGTGGCCACCGACGGTGCTCGCACCTCTGCATCCCGCTGCCTACAGACTACCGCTGCGGCTGCCCCACGCACTACCGCCTCGACAGCGACAACCTCACGTGCTCCGGTGAGTGATGCGCCCAGTGTTCAGCTGATGCAGCACGTGGCCACCGACGGTGCTCGCACCTCTGCATCCCGCTTCCTACAGACTACCGCTACGGTTGCCCCACGCACTACCGCCTCGACAGCGACAACCTCACCTGCTCCGGTTAGTGATGCGCCCAGTATTCAGCTGATGCCGCACGTGGCCACCGACGGTGCTCGCACCTCTGCATCCCGCTGCCTACAGACTACCGCTGCGGCTGCCCCACGCACTACCGCCTCGACAGCGACAACCTCACGTGCTCCGGTGAGTGATGCGCCCAGTATTCAGCTGATGCCGCACGTGGCCACCGACGGTGCTCGCACCTCTGCATCCCGCTTCCTACAGACTACCGCTACGGCTGCTCCACGCACTACCGCCTCGACAGCGACAACCTCACGTGCTCCGGTGAGTGATGCGCCCAGTATTCAGCTGATGCCGCACGTGGCCACCGACGGTGCTCGCACCTCTGCATCCCGCTTCCTACAGACTACCGCTGCGGCTGCCCCACGCACTACCGCCTCGACAGCGACAACCTCACGTGCTCCGGTTAGTGATGCGCCCAATGTTCAGCTGATGCCGCAGGTGGCCACCGACGGTGCTCGCACCTCTGCATCCCGCTGCCTACAGACTACCGCTGCGGCTGCCCCACAAGGTCACTGGTGAGTAACGCGCCTATTTTACAACTAACCCCACAATTAAACAAATATAAATATTAAAAAAAAAAGTATTTTGAATTGTTTTGGGCCAAATCAGCGCCTCTGGTGGCGTGAATTTTTTTTTCTTATATACAAATTTCTATCATCTAAATCAGTGGTTCTTAACCTTTTAGTGACAGAGGACTATTTGTCAAAATGGATTCGCGGACCAATTAGGGTACTTCCAGTGACCACTGTTCTAAATTGACGAAGTCTCATACAAACTTTCGTTCCATATTTGGAAAATCTTTTCTGTTAATATAATGCCAATTACAACAGATAGTAAGTATTCATTAAAAATAATTGTTTCAGAACCCGAAGAGTTCCTTATGTTCGCTCAAAAGAATGCCGTCGGGAGAATAGTTGTCGCCAATGGTGAATGTAATGACGCCTTCATACCACTGGTGGGCCTTCGGAACGTGAAAGCCATTGAATTCGACCCTGAAAAGAAGTACGTACTTATGGTCTATCTAATTAAATAATGTTTATTAAATTGATTTTCACAGTTTCTGTAAATAAGAAATTTATTTTGTTTTGCAAAATATTTCTTTCCCAAATGTTTCTATATGTTATCCAAAAATTATTCTGTAATAAGTATAATTATTTTTTTCGTAGTTATAATTCAATTTACCATTATTTTTACAGGTTATTATATTGGATGGACGAAGATTCGCACACCATAAGGAGAGTCGCAATAAGTGACTCGACTACGTCGGCCATTACTGACTCCACCGTAGTTGTATCTGGACTATCTAGACCGTTTCATATGGTGCTTGACGTTTTAGGACGAGCCCTGTACTGGACTTGTTTGGACACGGACTCTATCAATGTGACTTCCATCGACAGCAACTCCTCAGTCGGCGTCATTATTAGAGGAGAAAATATGATGCCGAGACATTTAGCTTTTCACCAGACTAAGAGGTAAGTAAAAATGAAAATATTACAATCTCAAATAATTATCATGCGTTCGGAATTAAAGTCACCATTGTACTTTATAATAAAACAACATTATCATGATGAACTGTTTACACTTGCACAAGGTCATTTAAGTTGGAAAGGAATAAGTTAAATTGGAACAATATTTGTTAAAAAAAACCCTTCTGCTTTTGCTTTCATTTTCGTAAGAAACGTCTGTACCTGAACAATGAAATTAACGTGCAGTATACTTTTTTTTTATTTTAACAGTTGTTAAACATAACATATTTATGACAGGGTGCTTGTTTGGAACGACATCGGCATGGGTGCCATAATGCGCGCCAACGTGGACGGATCCGAGCGCGTGGAGTTAGCGCGCGCCGCCAACGCATCCGCGCTCGCGCTCGACCACGCCGCCGGCGTCGTGTACTGGGCCGCCGGCCGGCAGCTGCACGCCGTCGACCTCGACACGCTCCACAGGTCGGTCGCGCTCCTAGTGTGTATACGAGCACGTCTCTCGGTGCGTCCGCGCTCGCGCTCGACCACGCCGCCGGCGTCGTGTACTGGGCCGCCGGCCGGCAGCTGCACGCCGTCGACCTCGACACGCTCCACAGGTCGGTCGCGCTCCTAGTGTGTATACGAGCACGTCTCTCGGTGCGTCCGCGCTCGCGCTCGACCACGCCGCCGGCGTCGTGTACTGGGCCGCCGGCCGGCAGCTGCACGCCGTCGACCTCGACACGCTCCACAGGTCGGTCGCGCTCCTAGTGTGTATACGAGCACGTCTCTCGGTGCGTCCGCGCTCGCGCTCGACCACGCCGCCGGCGTCGTGTACTGGGCCGCCGGCCGGCAGCTGCACGCCGTCGACCTCGACACGCTCCACAGGTCGGTCGCGCTCCTAGTGTGTATACGAGCACGTCTCTCGGTGCGTCCGCGCTCGCGCTCGACCACGCCGCCGGCGTCGTGTACTGGGCCGCCGGCCGGCAGCTGCACGCCGTCGACCTCGACACGCTCCACAGGTCGGTCGCGCTCCTAGTGTGTATACGAGCACGTCTCTCGGTGCGTCCGCGCTCGCGCTCGACCACGCCGCCGGCGTCGTGTACTGGGCCGCCGGCCGGCAGCTGCACGCCGTCGACCTCGACACGCTCCACAGGTCGGTCGCGCTCCTAATGTGTATACGAGCACATCTCTCGGTGCGTCCGCGCTTGCGCTCGACCACGCCGCCGGCCGGCAGCTTCACGCCGTCGACCTCGACACGCTCCACAGGTCGGTCGCGCTCCTAGTGTGTATACGAGCACGTCTCTCGGTGCGTCCGCGCTCGCGCTCGACCACGCCGCCGGCGTCGTGTACTGGGCCGCCGGCCGGCAGCTGCACGCCGTCGACCTCGACACGCTCCACAGGTCGGTCGCGCTCCTAGTGTGTATACGAGCACGTCTCTCGGTGCGTCCGCGCTCGCGCTCGACCACGCCGCCGGCGTCGTGTACTGGGCCGCCGGCCGGCAGCTGCACGCCGTCGACCTCGACACGCTCCACAGGTCGGTCGCGCTCCTAATGTGTATACGAGCACATCTCTCGGTGCGTCCGCGCTTGCGCTCGACCACGCCGCCGGCCGGCAGCTTCACGCCGTCGACCTCGACACGCTCCACAGGTCGGTCGCGCTCCTAGTGTGTATACGAGCACGTCTCTCGGTGCGTCCGCGCTCGCGCTCGACCACGCCGCCGGCGTCGTGTACTGGGCCGCCGGCCGGCAGCTGCACGCCGTCGACCTCGACACGCTCCACAGGTCGGTCGCGCTCCTAGTGTGTATACGAGCACGTCTCTCGGTGCGTCCGCGCTCGCGCTCGACCACGCCGCCGGCGTCGTGTACTGGGCCGCCGGCCGGCAGCTGCACGCCGTCGACCTCGACACGCTCCACAGGTCGGTCGCGCTCCTAGTGTGTATACGAGCACGTCTCTCGGTGCGTCCGCGCTCGCGCTCGACCACGCCGCCGGCGTCGTGTACTGGGCCGCCGGCCGGCAGCTGCACGCCGTCGACCTCGACACGCTCCACAGGTCGGTCGCGCTCCTAATGTGTATACGAGCACATCTCTCGGTGCGTCCGCGCTTGCGCTCGACCACGCCGCCGGCCGGCAGCTTCACGCCGTCGACCTCGACACGCTCCACAGGTCGGTCGCGCTCCTAGTGTGTATACGAGCACGTCTCTCGGTGCGTCCGCGCTCGCGCTCGACCACGCCGCCGGCGTCGTGTACTGGGCCGCCGGCCGGCAGCTGCACGCCGTCGACCTCGACACGCTCCACAGGTCGGTCGCGCTCCTAGTGTGTATACGAGCACGTCTCTCGGTGCGTCCGCGCTCGCGCTCGACCACGCCGCCGGCGTCGTGTACTGGGCCGCCGGCCGGCAGCTGCACGCCGTCGACCTCGACACGCTCCACAGGTCGGTCGCGCTCCTAGTGTGTATACGAGCACGTCTCTCGGTGCGTCCGCGCTCGCGCTCGACCACGCCGCCGGCGTCGTGTACTGGGCCGCCGGCCGGCAGCTGCACGCCGTCGACCTCGACACGCTCCACAGGTCGGTCGCGCTCCTAGTGTGTATACGAGCACGTCTCTCGGTGCGTCCGCGCTCGCGCTCGACCACGCCGCCGGCGTCGTGTACTGGGCCGCCGGCCGGCAGCTGCACGCCGTCGACCTCGACACGCTCCACAGGTCGGTCGCGCTCCTAGTGTGTATACGAGCACGTCTCTCGGTGCGTCCGCGCTCGCGCTCGACCACGCCGCCGGCGTCGTGTACTGGGCCGCCGGCCGGCAGCTGCACGCCGTCGACCTCGACACGCTCCACAGGTCGGTCGCGCTCCTAGTGTGTATACGAGCACATCTCTCGGTGCGTCCGCGCTTGCGCTCGACCACGCCGCCGGCCGGCAGCTTCACGCCGTCGACCTCGACACGCTCCACAGGTCGGTCGCGCTCCTAGTGTGTATACGAGCACGTCTCTCGGTGCGTCCGCGCTCACGCTCGACCACGCCTCTACAGATCGAACCGGTTGTTAATCGGACATGTGCATGCGCATTTAAAATTTGCCAATCCAATACTGCGATTGTAACTGCACATGATTTTTACTTTAATATCTACAAGCTAGGCTCACTTGTTGGTTTCGCACGGCGCGTGCATTTAGCCAATGTCAAGTGTTAAAATGTTTACAAATACCGTAATAAATCAAGTCAAAGTAAGTGGCAGTCAAATCGATCCCCGTTTGCCCATGTTTCAGTAAAAGTGTGGGGATTTACTGGAACCTCCCCGTGGACTTCTTGAGGGAACGTCGAAAGACACTTTCCGCTATTTTGTTTCACTTGCCAACACTTGTACATATTCGCGAACACTTAGTGGTTAATAATCCACCATTATTAAACACTAACATCCGCCACAACACAATTTTTAACATGAAAAACAAAACTGCTTAAGTGACACTTCCCGATACTGCCAAAAAGTCCCTAAGCACACTTGTTAATTCCTCTCTGCTATATATGACATTCTGATAATCAATGTATACAGACGCGTGGTGTGGCAAGGCGGCTGGGTGGGCACGCTGTCCGCGTACGGCGGCGCGTTGTACCTGAGCGGCAGCGAGCGCGCGCTCATGCGGCTGCCGCTGCATCGCCGCGACGCGCCCGCCACACTCGTGCCGCACGTCGCCAGGCTAGCCGCCTCGCTCGCCGTGCACCCGGTCAGTCTAATTATAAAGCAAAACAACTGTGTAGGTATTCAAAAAAATGATTTTGTGAACAGAGCACCTTATAAGAAAAGCAAAGCATAGCGGATATTCCGAATGGGAGCGCTCGTCTAAGGAAGTAACCTCCACCTTACAGTAAAAATAACACCACCTCCACAGGGCTCCACAAGAGATTAAGTCTAGATAAGCAACGGTGCGAGTGATATTTTTGGAATCGCAAGCGTCTATAGGCTATGGTAGCCGCTTACCATAAGGTGAGCCATTCAAACACCCTTTAACATAAAAAATATATTTATTTATTTAATTTAGGTAACAAACAGTCTTATACAAACAATTTTACAATTTATGTTTACAAATAGACCTAAAGTACCATTAATTGATATATAATTATTATATTCAAGCAGCATAAATTGACTAATAACTATAAACATCATCGCCGCCGCACATGTTATACTATTTAAACAATAATTCACTCACTTTCCTTTTGAAGCTGTAAAGTGATTCACTGAAGATATCTGCTTCATTCAAGTTCTTATTGTAAAAATTACATGTCCGTCTAAAAAAGGTTTCTCTAGCATAGTTGGTATGGCATCTCGAAACATAAAAGGTATCTTTTGAACGTGAGGAGAAACGAGGAACTTTGAGCACAATACTCTGCACAAGTTGAGCTGAGTCTATGCGATTGTTAATTATCTTGTACAGAAACATGGCATCCAAATACTGGCGTCTACAGACCAATGACTGCACTTCATGTCTTTTTGCACTCTCTTCATAATCATTATCTCTTATCTATTAGACAAGTCCGTCCGTCTGTGGTGCTGTTTCAGCGGCCAAACCGTAAGAGATAGATAAAGAGAATATTTAAGTTATAAGTTAAGAATAGTCTGATAAGACTACAAACTGGATTTGAGTAACGTAGCACTTCCGGTTTTCGAGAAATCACGAATTTCAAACGAAACCACACAAAATCTCCGAAGTTCTCAATTAATTAAATACTTTTTTTTTTTAAATCAGGTTTTGGTGAACATTTGTTTCACTGGTTTGTTAGTAATAATTATATTGTGATAACTTATCGCATATCACTGATAAGCTTTTGTTTCTTAATGCAGGTGAGCCGTTCGCATCCATGCTACGGAGGGCGCGCTTGCGGCGGTCGTGCGGGCACGTGCCTCGCGGGTGGCGAGTGCGGCTGCCACGGGGACTGCGAGCCCCGCCCCGCCTGCGCGCCCGGACACTTCCCCTGCCGCCGCGCGCCCCGCGCCGCGCCCCACCACGCGCACTGCATCCCCGCCGACTGGAGGCCAGTACACTTATTAAATAAATAAAATAAATAAATATTTCCAACACTCACACCAATTAGCCTAGCCCCAAACTAAGCACTATAAGGCTTGTGTTATGGGATGCTAGGGTAACGGATAGAATACATACACTGTACATATATAAGTATATTTATATAGAAATACATATTAAACATCCATGACTGGAGTACAAATGCTCGTATTCATCACACAAACATCTGCCCCCACCGGGATTCAAACCCGGGACCTCCCGAGTCGGCGACACCATGAAACCCGGCGTACAAACCACTCGGCCACGGAGGTCGTCAGTTGTTATTGGTTGCGCGGGTGATGCTAAATATTTGGTTTTTAAAATGGACTGTAAATTTAAAATTGGCACAATAATCAAAGAAAGGAGATTTCGAACTGCGTGGATTAAAACAAAAGGAAATACTTAGTTCGAAACCAATAAGGAAGGTTGCACAATACCTTGCATCAACGGCCAGTCCAGAAGCTCCTGAGGTGGACGCGTCGAGCCGGCTATCCAAAACCGAACTAGGGTTCGTGGCCGGTTGATATTCTTATGGGTAACACTAAACGGGTAGTCTTGCACTTCTACTTTCACAATGAGAATCACTCGAACTATAGTTTTGTTTCTCAAACGAATTAATTACGAAGAGCGCGATTTACGGCAGCCATTAACAAAAGGTTTGCTAAGAAGGATGTTAACTTCAACACCCGCTAGATGTCCCCAGTGGACATTCGTCGTCTCACTCTTGCATGCGAGATAGGTATGTGCAGGAGGGAGATGGGAAAAGGAAATGAGTAAAGTGCCAATTTAACTATTAAATTTAACATAAGACGATGGGCGATTATACGAATTTTACGCGGTCAATTCAAAATGCCATACTGGCGCAACCACTTATAGTCTGTCCATTCTATTATTATCTGTTTGACAGATCGACGCCCATGAAATTTTCTATTGTTTACGTTAAACTGTCATACAAATAATACTGTACTTCATGGACGGGTACCGCCCACTTAGTGATGTGCCACACATAATGATTACTAAGATTGTGCCACAGATTACAAATAATCGTTAGAAATAAATCAGTACAACCAAATTGTAAGAAAAAAATGCCAAAGATATAGTTTTTTATAAACCTTTTTAAAATGAAATTATTAATTATAATCAATAAATCTAATTATACAGAGTATTAGTATTAGGATAAACAAACATATAAAAAGTATACTTCTTTTTTAGTTGTATATATATACATAATGTAGATAAATCACACCCAGACACAGAACAAATTCTCGTGCTCATCACACAAATATTTGTACTTGGTAAAATAATAAATCTAATGAGATTTTGTAATAATTTATTAAACACCAGTATTTTTGATAACTAAAATAATTTCGATACTTATAATCGATTAAACAATGTTCTAGCATAAAATAGATTATAGCTTTAAATCGAAGGAGTTATGTGATAGGGTATCACTATTTTTACTTCGATCGATCTGTCAAAAAGATAATAATATAATGGACAGACTATAGATTAAAACAAAAAGGGTAGATACGGTACGCTCATACTAGCATCAAATAAAATATGATCCAACTCAACTACATAAGCAACTCACGCCACGCACACGTCTGTATATAAACATCAGTCGAGCGAGCGAGACAGAACTATACACTTCAACGCAGCGTATTGATGTCCTTTTCTTGCTTACAAAATGGCGATTACGTAATAAATAATATTCACGACAAACCGTGATTTATGAGAAAGTGTTTTCACAGTTTTACGAATGAAAAGCGTTGCCGGGGCATTTGATTTTGAACTATTTGTGTTCTTTATAAAAGCATCGAAGGCATTGTTATATCTTCATAACACAGAATATACGCAATATTGTTATATTGAGTGTACATGCAGCGTGTTTGAATGTCAAATTGTGACTAAAGCGAATTATGGTCGTGGACCACAATTTAAGCGGATCACTTTTGAGCCGCGAATGCCGTATCTTCCCTTTTTGTTTTAATCTAAGCCAGTACACTACACCGCACTTACCTCACAGAACATGCGGCGGAGCAGATGACGCTGCCTTTCAGCCTAAGAAATTCGACTCGGTCCTTAAGATCGCGGTAGCATAATTCGTCAGTGCCTCCGCCCGGATAGTGGAGGGTGCTGGTTCGAGTCCCGTATGCCTCCTGGACCGCATTCATTTTTTTCCAGTAAATTGTGCTTTAGAATTAAATACTGTACTACTTTTTCTTCAATTATTTAGTAAATGTTTTGATTCGGTGCGTGTAGGTGCGACGGCCAGGTGGACTGCCCCGACGGGTCGGACGAAGGCGCGGCGTGCGGCGCGTGCGCAGGTGGCGTGCGGTGCGTGGACGGCGCGTGCGCGGCCTCGCTGGCTGGTTGCCCCGCGGGCGCGGTCTGCACACACGCACCGCTGCCTGCCGCTTTCAGGTAACTACCCGCCTTTGACTTGCGCGGCCTCGCTAGAACATACGTTGTTGTGTTTGATTTTTGCTATCTAGTACTGCGAGGTAACCGGTATTTTAAAATTAACCCCCTGTATAATACTTTTTTTTTTGTAGGTGCGATGAGAAGTTGTGCCTTTCGGAAGCGCTCCTTTGCGACGGACATCAACACTGTGAAGACGGATCTGATGAACTACCTGCTTTCTGCGAGCAGAAAGAACCGGTATTATTTTAAGATTTATTTTACTTATATACACATATAATAGCCCATTGAGAAGATTGAAATTCAACAACTTTTTTTTCTCTTATAACCACACTATTTCGATTCTTTAGTGATTACGAAATATTAAAAATGATGTGAAATCAACTAATGTTGATGACTAATATGAAATGATGTTGTTGGTACAGGTAAATACCGTACGGTCTTGGAGCGCCGCGGCGGTGTGCGGTGCGGTGGCCGGGTGCGGGGGCGTGGCGGGCGCCGTGTGGGCGGTGCTCCGCTGCCGGCGGCACCGCGCCCCGCCGCGCCCGCTGCCCCTGCCCCTGCCGCGCCACAAGCCACGCGCGCCGCCCCCTCGCGCTTGCAGCCCGTGAGTACTCACTCGCTCCACTGTTTGACACTAGCGTGGCGGGCGCCGCATGGACGGTGCTCCGCTGCCGGCGGCACCGCGCCCGCGGCCCCTCCTCCTGCCGCGCCACAAGCCGCGCGCACCGCCCCCGCGCGCCTGCAGCCCGTGAGTACTCGCTCCACTGTTTGACACTAGACAGGCGGGCGCCGCATGGACGGTGCTCCGCTGCCGGCTACTGGCGGCACCGCGCACCGCCGCGCTCGCTGCACCTCCCCCTGCCGCACCACAAGTCGCGCGCACCGCCCCCGCGCGCCTGCAGCCCGTGAGTACTCGCTCCACTGTTTGACACTAGCGTGGCGGGCGCCGCATGGACGGTAGTCCGCTGCCGGCGGCACCGCGCCCGCGGCCCCTCCCACTGCCGCGCCACATGCCGCGCGCACCGCCCCCGCGCGCCTGCAGCCCGTGAGTACTCGCTCCACTGTTTGACACTAGCGTGGCGGGCGCCGCATGGACGGTAGTCCGCTGCCGGCGGCACCGCGCCCGCGGCCCCTCCCCCTGCCGCGCGCACCGCCCCCGCGCCTGCAGCCCGTGAGTACTCGCTCCACTGTTTGACACTAGACAGGCGGGCGCCGCATGGACGGTAAAATTGCACTCAGAGCGTAGGTTTGAAGTGTCAGGTTGCTTGTAATGGGCCAAACGGCCAAAGCGCCATCTACAATGACTAACAAATGGGTATAATACATACTTATTATATCCACAGAGTGACGGAGAGCCTGTGCGAGCGGTATCCGCAGCCGACGGCGAACCCGCCGCCGTCCCCGGCGACGGCGAGCGGCGGGTCGGGAGCGGCGGCGGGCGGCGGCACGGGTGGTGCGGGGGCGGGATCGGGCGCAGGTCGGCGGCGCGCCTACCGCCACTACCGCGCGTGCAACCGCCCGCCCCCGCCCACGCCCGCCTCCACCGATGCCTGCGAGTCCGAGCCCGAGCCCGCCGCGCGCGCTCCCCCGCCCTCACCCGCGCCCTACCTCTATCTCTACTGACCGCGGTGAGTTCCTGCTTCTGTGTAGCCTTTGGGTCGGGTGCGGGTCAGTGGTGCGCCTACCGATACTACCGCGCGTGCAACCGCCCGCCTCCACCGATGCCTGCGACTCCGAGCCCGAGCCCGCCGCGCGTGCTCCCCCGCCCTCACCCGCGCCCTACCTCTATCTCTACTGACCGCGGTGAGTTCCTGCTTCTGTGTAGCCGTTGGGTCAGGTGCGGGTCGGCGGCGCGCCTACCGCCACTACCGCGCGTGCAACCGCCCGCCCCCGCCCATGCCCGCCTCCACCGACGCCTGCGAGTCCGAGCCCGAGCCCGCCGCACGCGCGCCCCCGCCTTCACCCGCGATCTACCTCTATCTCTACTGACCGCGGTGAGTCCATAGAGTATGGGAGATATAGACTCTACTCATGGAGCATCACCACTAGAGTCCGCATACAAGGGCCGCGTACGCCAAGCTTAAGTAAAATTTTACTTATGCATGAGGCACATCCCAAAGGTCGTGAACTGGTCGTGTCATTTAAAAAGAACGCTGGAACAAAGTGGTGGCATGTCTACACTCCCGCAGCAAAGGTGCAATATAGATATTTTCTTTAATCGATCTTACCCTCATCACTTCTCTAACCTTGACGTGACCAATCAGAACGCGGCTACTCTGCCGTACGCCGCCGACATTGGCGATTTTGATTTCAAACAAAATTTGTGTGATGCGGACTCTTAGTAGGGGTGCTCCATGACTCTACTACAAGTGGAAGTGTCCCTCTTATAGACAGAGATAGAAGATGAGAGACCGCTAGCTTTCCCTTTTTAATCGCGCATGCGCATTGGCAACCGTAACTATTTCGATGTGATGCTTGGACCAACTATTGGACAGACGACTGCGCATGCGTCACAAGAGAGAGAGATAGCTAGCGGTCTCTCATCTTCTTTCTCTTTCTACTAGTCGGACACTTTTAGAGCCGCCTTTACCACTCTATTTTTATACCTCTATGGGTGAGTCCCTGCATCTGTGTAGCCGTGCCACCGCTTTACGGCCTGGCCACAGACATGAGCGACCGGCGGCGCAACGAGCGAATGAAAGACACTCCCTAATTGACCACAAAAAACTTACTTATGGTACTAAAATTATCTAAAATAGGTATTTAATCTAGTGTAATTGTTATTAAACTGTACACGACGTTGTATTCTAACAATGTGGGACAAAAAATAGTTTTGTTCGTTAGTAGTTTAGACACTATTTACTATGGGAACATAACAACATTTTTTTTTTACATATCCACAATCAGTTAAATAGCTACTATAAGTGAATGCGTTGTCAGTCCAATAATTGCGATAAGTGAGAGTACACATTGAGAGTACTACTCCATGTGCTACATCTAGGTGCTACATTCGCTCCGATAGTGACGAGATATTATGCCTTTTAAGCCGGTTACAGTAGGATTGTCTTGTAAGTGCGACTGCCAGCTCGTTGGGATGCTGAGCAAGTCGTTTTTGGTATCTTGTAGATGTAGCCCGGATTTCTTCCTTTACTGTGCTTATTTGTAGGTTCTCGTGGATCTCGTTGTTCGTTACAAACCAGGGCACATTGGATATGGTGCGCAAGATAACGTTCTGTAGTCTTTGTATTACGCTTATGTTAGAGTTACTCGCGCTACCCCACAGCTGTATGCCATACATCCATACTGGCTTAAGGAGGGCTTTGTAAATTAGCAGTTTGTTGTCCACAGAGAGTTTGCTGTTGCGTCCAAGTAACCAGAGCATATTTCTGTATTTCAGGTTAAGTTCCTCTCGCTTTGCTTTAATGTGATTTTTCCATGTCAGCCTGCGGTCGAGATGTAAGCCAAGATATTTCACATTATCTTTGTTGGGTAGTATGTTGTCTTCTAGAGATACAGGTGGACAATCTCCTTTTTTGAAGGCAAATGTTATGTGTACCGACTTAGTCACACTTGCTCTAATCCTCCATTTCTTTAGCCAGATACTTATTTCGTCTAGCCCTTTTTGGAGAATATTAGATGCCACAATCGAACTTTTATTGCTGGCTAATATGGCAGTGTCATCGGCAAAGGTTGCTGTAGTAACGCCTGTTATTGTTGGCAAGTCTGCAGTATATATTGTGTATAACACTGGTCCCAGTACAGACCCCTGAGGTACACCTCCTTTAATTTCAAAGAATTCTGATGTTTCACTCGATTCTTTCACCTGAGATATTCTGTCTTCTATGTAAGATTGTAATAAAGGGTGATAACTGTGAGGGAGACAGTTTTTTAATTTGCATAGGAGGCCCTCGTGCCATACTTTATCAAATGCCTGTTGAATGTCCAAGAAAGCTGCTGAACAAAATTCTTTATTTTCCAGCGCCTTTCTGATTTCCTCTGTTACTCGATGCACTCGATGTACAGTAAAATGGTTTTGTCTAAAACCAAATTGATGATCTGGTATTGTTTTATTTGCCTTAAGAATGGAAAATATTCTTTTAAGTATGATTCTTTCGCATACCTTCGACAGTATTGGTAAGAGGCTGATGGGTCTGTAGGATGATACTTCGTTTGGTGGCTTGCCGACCTTAGGAATCATAACAATTTGGGATACCTTCCACATAGTGGGAAAATGTTGTGTTCTGAATATGCCGTTATATAGCGTGGTGAGGAATACTACAGCTCTTTTGGGCAAATTTGTTAATATTTCCTTTGTAATAAGATCGAAACCAGGAGCCTTCCGATCATTTAAGGCTTTAATTGTCGACCACACCTCTTTAACGGTAACTGGTTCCGGTGGTAACGACATCTGGTACGGTTGATCAAGAACATTATCCACATATGTGTTCGATTCCTGATTGTTTGTAGCGTTTGGTGAGAAAACATTAGCCAGATGATTGGCAAACAAACTTGCTTTTTCTGTTGCACTTTTAGCCCAACTATTGTCACTTTTTCTTAAGGGAGGTTTAAATTCTTGAGGTCCGTTTAGTGTCTTGGTAAACTTCCATAGTGAGTGGCCAGTGGATCCATTAGGGGCAAGTGATTCCAACTTTGCTTCAAGTGTAGTGTCGTGCCAATCTTTAAGTAGTGTTCTCAGTTCATTTACCTCTTTATTCAGTTTACGCCTATTGTCACTGTGCCTGCTCTGTTGCCATATGCGCCGAGTCCTTCTCTTTTCTAGTACTTTTTGTCTTATTTCTAGTGGTATGTTAGCGCAATGGGGTTTTTGTACTACAGTGGGAGTAGTTTTCCAACAAGCTTCCTGAATCAATGTTGTAATGTGTTTTGTTGCTTCCTCTATTTCTTCCGGAGATTTCAGGGACATTTACATGTTTAACTTATCATTGACATATTCACGAAATGAGTACCAGTCCGTCTTGGTATTAGAGAGTTGTGGCGGTCTTTCGATTTCAATAACCATGGTGCTAGCTGTTAGCAATACAGGAGTGTGATCCGATGAGGTGTCTAGACAAGATTCCGGTTTGAAATAGTGGTGAGACAATCCCTTAATGATAAAAAAATCCAGGAGGTCTGGAATCTTTTTTAAGTCTGTGGGCCAGTAGGTTGGTTCGAACGTAGATATGGTACGTAGGTTGTTTTCCGTAACGCTGGATAGTAGTTGTCTACCTCTTGTTGTAATAAGTCTGGAACCCCAGGAAGCATAACAACATAACACAAACTCTTTTAACGTACTTGTAGCTGGCCAGCTAATTAAAGACAGTAAAACGGTGTTCTGAATTTTAAAAAAAATCAAGAAAAAACTGCATTATGTTTTTCTTTCATGATTTCATGAAACGTCGATATAACATATAAAACCTTTTTTTTTTATTAAAATTAATACGTTTTTAACCCAAAAACATGGGAAAAAACAATAGTTGCGATTCGTCCACTAGGAAGATTATTTTCAACTTTCATAATAAAGATTGGTCATACAGAAAAATAGCAAACCACTTGAACTGTTCTAAGGACATGGTTATGAATGCTATAAAACATTTCAAGAAGTTCAACACGACCGAAAACGTACCAAGAAAACCGAGACCAAGAAAAACTACTCTGCGGGAAGAATCTTAAGATGGTGTTGTTGGCAAAAAAAAAATCCGTTCAAGGGATCAGAACTGATACGTTCGGAGTTGTTTGGTGCAGGAGAGTCGAAGGGTATGTCTGCAAGAACAATTAGACGGAGACTATGTGAGGTAAACTTGTACGGACAGAGTGTGTCGGAAGGTGCCACTTTTGAAAAAGCAAAATGTTAAGGCAAGATTAGCATTTGCTAAAAAATATGTACACTGGACTGAACGAGTTATTTAGACTTGTAAACAGGATAATGATCCGAAACACAATGCAAAAATAATAAAAATACTATTTTAGGAACCAGTCTGTGACAGTTTTGAATTGGCCCCCATACAGTCCTTATTTAAACCCAATAGAAAATTTGTGGTACCAGGTGAAGAAGACGGTGGCGACAAAACGGACATCAAACATCGATCAACTTTACACAGCTTTTAGAGAAGCTTTTAAGCAAATTCCAATGGAAGCTTGTAAAAATTTGATCTTCCATGCCCAAGAGATGTCGTGCTGTCATTTCTGCCAAAGGACATGCGACCAAATATTGATACGTACCGGAAAGTTTTATAATTGTGTTAGGAATATCGTGTAATAAAGATAATTTCAATAATAACAATATTTTTTCTATTTCTTCTAAACAAATGAAGTATCTTTAATTAGCTGGCCAGCTATAAATACGTTAAAAAGGTTTTTGTTACGTTCCCATAGTGAGCAGTGTCTAAACTACTAACGAACACAACTATTTTTTGTCCCACATTGTAAGAATACAACTTCGTGTATGGTTTAATAACAATTAAACTGGATTAAATACCAATTTTAGGTAATGTTAGTACCTTAAGTAAGATTTTTTGTGGTTAATTAGGGGGTGTCTTTAATTATGTGACCACCACTGTATATTGTTTTAAACTTTCATGGTCACTAACATTATTGCTATTAACGAGATTGTTACCATGTACCTT